CATGATATTGATGATGATATATATAATCTCAAAAGTACCAGAAATTGCTGGTGTGAGCACCCCATCACCAATAACCATACAAGTTCCAATCAAAGCCAGAACAAGCAGCACCTTTTTCAGCACCTTATGCTTCTCCAATGTCGATTTCAAACTCGACCCGAAAGCACTGTTGGCCGCCGGAACAACCCCATCTTTGGTGTACTCCGATAGCTCCTCATCTGCCAGCTGGCAATTGGGCAAGGAGCTCACCCTGGCGTGCCGGGAAAGCAGAGAATACAGAGCAAAAGTTCCACCTTCGCCATTGTCGTCGGCTCTAAGCACAATAAACACATATTTCACTAATGGAATCAGCGTCAATGTCCAGAAAACAAACGAGAGAACCCCAAAAATCTCCTCATTGGTTTCTGAGTGGTGAATATCTTCTGCAAAAGTGCTTTTGTAAACATACAGAGGAGAAGTGCTTAAATCTCCATATACTACTCCCAGGCTCTGGTAAGCCAGAGTTAACAGCGTCTTCCATGAATCTTTCTGCAACAATTAAGCAGAAGCACAAGAAGCACTTATCAGAAAAGCTGAGAATTTGAATTGGGGTAGTGAAACACTCACACTGACAACACTCGGCCGCATGTATTACCTTGATTGGATGGCTGCGGCTCACCCCCTCCAGATCCATGACTGGCAGTCTAGAAACTATACACAATCCATTTTTTCAAGGAAAATAAAGAAAACCCAGTTCAACCAAGTCGAGAAAAACAAGAAATTGGACAGAAAAAATAGCAAAGATTGGATTTTTATTTATTTTTCTTGTGCTACTAGTACTAGTTTTAGACCAACCAATGCAAACAAATAAAGATAAGAACAAACCAAAATACCAGAAAGTATAGAGAATGGTAGGGTGGTTGGGAACTAGGGATTGTAGCTGCAGAATAGAATATGAAGAGAGAGAGAGAGAGAGAGAGAGAGAGAGAGAGAGAGAGAGAGAGAGAGAGAGGAGAGAGTGGAGGAGAGAGAAAATTCGTCTTTAACTTCTTTATTTTTTGTGAAAACAAATGGTAGGTTTGAGTTTGGTTCTCTCTTTCAGCTAAAAAGTTGTTTGTTCTAGAGAGATGGAGATGTGGAATCTTTCTGAGTAGGTTATCCTCTCCACTTGGCTAGTTGGCTGTGTCTGAGAGAGAATAGAACACTGGGAGTGGGGGGAAGTAGTGCTCTGTAAACAAGCATGCACTCACTGCAATTTTCTTAACAATTCACACTCATCTCCGTAACCCACCATATATAGATATATATATATATATATATAGTTATAATTACAGTTATAATCTGACACAGCAATGAAACTGCAACCCATCAACTGCGAGACTGCAAGCTCCTCACTTGTCAATGAATCATTGGTCTTTATCCGGAACCCAGGGCAACTATCCAGAGTGGCATTTTTGCAGTTTCATGGTGTTTGATGGGGAAAAGTGTAATTTAAATAATATAATAAGTTAAGGACTAAAAGGGCAAACTCTTTTTGTTTTGTTGTTCACTAGTGTCCACGGGATTTTACAAAGATATAATGTAGTGAAATGGGTGTGCTCTGCGGTTATAGTGTTTTTTGGTGTTATTAGAGGAAAATGATGGTCATTTATTTTGTAAATTGACAAACTAATTAGACAATAAGGAAAATGCTAGGACGACGGGAACGTTCTATCAGAGAGTTAGTCATTTCTAGTCGATATGAGTAGGAATGAAGTAGCCTACGTGTGGTTGATAACTAATCATGGGTTCTTGGTTGGTTCTTTCTTTCAACCTTGTGCAAGTTTAGAGAGTAAAGTTTATATTATTCTAGTCCAGAGTCTTATGCGTAGCTCTACTCGCCTAATTCATTATCATCTTTTCAACAACAATAAAAATGATAGGGCGACCTATATTTTGTAAATCACATGATGTGGCGGTTGATGGTTGAATTATATTTGTACAGTTGCCACATTATGTGATCTACAAAATATAATTTGAAATAATTATCTTTCTAGCATCACACAAACAATAAATTGTTATGTTTTGGAAACTCATGATTGCTCTCTAATTAGACTAGTAGCCTACCACCACCTACACTCTAGCACATGAGCATTATACATTTCTCTTTTATATTTCTTATTACGATAAAAATATAATTTATATAAATACGTATTCACGTAATAAGCGACACACAAATAAAAATAAAAATACATGATTAACGGTCTAATTAGAAGAAGAAATATTCTTGGGTTAGCCAAGAATCTCTTACCTACTCTTAATATATAAGTTGATAAGTATGTTTTATTTGATAAAAAAAAAGATTAAGTACGTTTTAAGCCAGCTAGCTTTTTCTTTATGTCTCAATCCATAATATTTGAAAGAATAAGTTCAAATGGTGTGCTGTTGAAAGACAATGAAGTTTGACTGACCATTTGCAGGGAGAAACTCTGAATGCAACCGGATTATTTCAGGCTAAGTGATGGAGAGATCTGCCTAATCATCGAGCGAACACAACCGGGCGATTGCATAGGTCTTAGTTTTCCTAGCCAAGGTTCTTATATCTTTCACTATCTAAAGTGAAGTCGCATTAAGATACTAGTGACTACAGAGGTTAGACCAGAGAAAAATATGTTAAGCAGCCCTAATAGTTTAGTTGCTTCCAGAACCTAAATAAGCAACCACAACAACAGAAGCAAAGCTTTATCTCACTATGTAGAGTCAGTTGTATGAGTCCTATAAAGTCGCTGCCCTCGATTTTGCGTAGTTAGCTTTAAATACTCCATATCTTTTCTTAAAATCTATTTCCAGATTTTCCTCTACCCCTTGACCACTTTAATCGATTTTCTCTAATTTTATAGTCAATTGTGGTTCCTCTTGTTTTACCTCAAATATCATCCTTCTATAACCTAAATATAAGCATTTATTACCATAAAGCAAATTTTCCTTATTGTCTAAGCAATCCTGCAAGAACGGGATACATCCTCTACTGATATTATAAAAGAATTTTCAACTTCTTGTGATGCAAGGAACGGACAAAGAGAAGATGAGAGAAAAAAAAAACAACTTGGAATTTGAGTTCTGTAAGTAAATTTAACTCCAACCAATCAAATCATATTTGAGTGAACTACTCTCTCACACAAAAATTGTGACAAAGAAAAAGGTCCCCAAAACAGGTCCAAATCCGACCAGATAATTTGGTGAAAATGCAGCACTTACATGCGTGATGCATGGATGGACCCCATCCTTCCCAATGCCCTAAATGCTTTGTTCTTCTTGCTTACATGAAACTGGAAGTGCTCAAATTAGGTCGGGGAGCCCATGGAATACTTTTTAGTGCTTTTACACATATACATGCAGAAAAACCTTTACCTACTTATAATTTTAAGCAAGTGGACGTTCATCATCGACATCATATAGACAACTAAAAAAAACTAACTCCCGAAGTGCATATATGGATGTAACCAAGTTGGTTAAGACAATGTAGTTGTACATCAACCTAAGTTCGAATCCCTTTTATCATAGTTTAGGTTAAATTAAATTATCTCTGGAATTAAAAAAACAAAAGAGAACTTGGCAAATTATCAAAAATCAAGTCTCAGTTGTTGAAAAAATCATAATTAAATCGATTACATACTAAAAAAAATTGATCATTAGAGGCCTGTATCTCAAAAAAATAAAAATAAAAATAAAAATAAACTATAAACTTATTGTTCCATTAATATTCTTAATAGGAACAAGATACGATTCATAAGCAGATAATCTGCTTACGATAAATGATTCCCATATAATAATTATGTATAAAAAAATGAGACAGAGGTGCATGATTGTGAAGGAAGGCGGGCATTCACATCATGCTAGCTGAATGTGGAGGAGGAGTGAAGAGAATTGTGCACGTATTAAGATTGATTAAGATTGAAGCAGTAGAGGCCAAAGAGGAAAGAGAGATCGAGTAGGGCTAGCTAAAAGCTAAGTGCAAATCCAACTTGAGAAATACTAAAGTCACTCTTTCAAAATTGTGCTCTCTTAAACTCGTCACTTTATGTTTTTTACATAATATTTTATAATGTAGACACAATAATTGACGTTAAATTATAAAGTATCATTAGAAAGTCCATTAACAATATCACTTTTAAAAGAATTCTCTTAACATTTTTCATCCAACTTTCTGTCACTTTATTATTAACTTTCTTTTTCGAGTGGTCACAACTTTTTGTTTCCTGTTGCATCAACTTTGGGATTTTTCGCATCCAAGTAGAGATATTTGACGTCAAATAGTTTAATCCCATTACCTTGAGTGACCGATCAACTCTTTCACTTATCACTTCAGTTGCCCCAAAATAATATCCAGCTGTTGTTCTTACTATTTTTATCAAATTCCCCATGGTATTCAATTGCACACAGTAGACACATGCTCGTGAAAATAGTATTTTCTTTATAAAGAACAACCAACGGACCAGATTATAGATGACATATGCATGAGTGAAAAAAAAATTAGGCTTTCAGGATTATGAAGTTAATTAGGGCAAGTGTTCGATCTGAATTCATAATATGTACTAGCATAGAGCACACACTTTGTGTGTGTGAACAATTTCTTTTAATAAGTGCATTTTTTTTTCTATATTATTATTAAGACACTACAAGAAAAATGAGCATTGCACACAATAAATTATCTGTGCCCTTTGAGGCCAAAAAGCACTGACAATTGTGCTCATAGACCAATAGCAACAGTGCAGCTACTATCTCTATGTCTGTGCCCTCTATGGGCGTCACCATTTCTAAAAGGGCACAATAGGGGTGTTTGTGCCAGAGAGGCCAGCACAAATAATGGCCCATTTGTGCCCCGTTCTGACAACTTTTCAAATCAGCTTTTCCAGCTATGTTGGCACTTATATTGTAATTGTGCCAACATGAATTAATTAATAAAAAAAAATCAAAATTGAATCTAAATTGAGGAAATGCAAAAATTTAAATTTTCACGAAATGAAGAATGCCTACAACCATGAAACCAACTTTCACTTTATGAATCTCACAAACATATATTGTTGTGTTACATATTTTCTCTCTAATACCCAAAGAAGAAAAAAAAACTTGAAAGCAAACATTTTTGGATAGATGCATCTTCCCAGCAGGCCTTGCACCTCATCAAATCTTTGCTGCTCCATAAACGAATTAATCAGATGACATGCAGTATATGGACTCTCACAGAAGTCATGAATAACAAATGCAAAGAAAAAGAAAAACCACACACTTTACAGGAGCAAAGAAAATGAAGGGATAAAGAAGGTAAGAAGGGAATACCTTTGTGGGAGGACTCTTATTTGCTTCAAGGGTCTTTCCACCACTTGCTTTAAGATGATTCTTATATAACAACTCCACCCTCCAGAACAACCAACAATGGATGAGGAAAGTATACAAATATTCCTCATCAAAAATAAGTCCACCCTCCATAACAACTGACTCTACATTACTACATTGTTCAGACTCATCACACTCTGCATAAGATTACATGGCTAATTGCTCAAGGTTCAGATTTGGTGCAGAAATATTATCATCTTCATTTTGATTCTAGTATTCAAACACAAAGACCAGGGTACATTTTGTAACAAACCATAGAAATTGACCAAATGGAATTAATGCTATTAACAGCGACCATGGCCAAAAACTGTTGAAGACCGACATAATCTCTAGCTTGATGCCAGTGAGAAAAGACTCACTCAGCTAACATAGACTACTATATTCATCAGAAGCCAACACAAATATAGTCAATTCAAAACACAATCAGTCCAAAATTATACCTAAACAGAGTTAATTAAAATCAATACCTACAAGTTCCAGATCTGCCATCTCAAAGATTCAAATTCCTCACTTCGGGTTGTAAAAGCAATTTTTGGGTTGGAGATAATACATTCAGCTCATGGTCACCTGACTCACCTGAATCATAGAAATATATAAGTATGTATATTATTTATGGTCAAAGTGAGTTGCTTAGTTTAATCACATACCTGGTAAATATTTGTTTAAGTTAGCATAGACAGTATAACGATATTACATTTTCCATGATGAAACTTGTACTAACATGATTAAACATTAGCACCTTAAGAACTTCACATTTGAATACATTTTTTTGTATTTCACTTCTGATTTCATCTCTACCTAGATCCAATTACTAAATCCTCTTCTTTCAATGCTACCACACCATAAAAGAAAAGTCAAAAAACGAATAAATAATTATTGGGGGAGGGGTGGAATCAAGACAACTCCTAATAAATCAATAAAAAAAAACTTACGCTTTTCCAAAAATTGAAGATCCAAAATCCTAAAATTCTAAGCAACATGGCTCCGTAAATATAATAATAGATATGAAATTCTTCCATACAAATAAAGAATACGAACCGGCAATGGGGGCGTGACAAGGCCAGGGCCTTTGAGGTTGCAGAGACAGAGTGAACAAGGCTCTAAACTGCTCCAATATGAGTTGGATCGGGTCGACCAAACCAGTCACCGAGAAACCTCACAGTATGAAATAACCAAAAATCCATCATATTCATATCCAAAATTGCATGCAACGGGCAAGTATGAAAAAAAAATGTAAAATAATTTCAAAACTCAAATCCATAAGCAACAAGGCGAGATACAAAATATACATGTCAGATCTCATAAGATATAAACTCGAAACGAAAAAACACGAACTCAAATATGATGCATGGGTGGTGTTGGTGTTTTTCAAAGAAAAAAAAAACAAAGGAAAAACCCAGATATGAGAGGAGTGAGAGAGAGAGAGAGAGAGAGGTATAGAGAGACCCTAATCCAAAATCCCTAATTCAGAGACCGTTTTCAAAAGCTCTGATTCATAACCCATATTCAAAATCACTAACCAGATTCAAAATAAAACAATATCCATGAGCTTTGGTTGAGTTTATTGCATGATATTCTTACCTTGTGGAGTGAGGAGGAGTGAGGACTAAGACTGAGAGCTCGATTCGGGCAAGGTGGTGTGGACTGTGGGTGGAATCGCGATTCAGGGGACGAATTCACGAAGTGAAGACTGAGGATTAAGGATTAATATATATGTGTGAGACCAAAGTAATCCATTTGGTAAAGAGAGAAACGGATGGAAGAGAGAAGTGGGTGTGGGTGGGTTAAGGAGGGGAGAGAGAGTCTGTGGTGGGTGGGTTAAGGGAAGGAGGGAGACAGAGAGAGAGAGAGAGAGAGAATGGGGTACGGATGGAAGAGAGAAGTGGGTGTGGGTGGGTTAAGGAGGGGAGAGAGAGTGTGTGGTGGGTGGGTTAAGGGAAGGAGGGAGACAGAGAGAGAGAGAGAGAGAGAGAATGGGGTGTGGATTGGTTAAGGGTGTCGGTGGATTAAAGAGAGGGAGAGAAAGTAAGGTGTGAGTCATAAGTCTTAGAAAAAAATAATAAAAAAAATTAATTGTGTCTTTTGAAGTAATATAATAAATATATTTGAATCCATTGTTTTGAAAAAGTTGAGAGAGAAAATTATTTGTGCCAACTTTGTAGAGAATGAGCACATTAGTTGGTGCCCTTATAGAAGAGGAAACAAATACAATTTTTTGTGTGTAAAATTTGTTCTATACCCACAAAATAAATATTTGTGCCCTTAATTTTGTATCCAAAGCCCTTTTTTTTTGTAGTGAGAGAAGCCACCTTGTCAACTTTTTTCTCTTTTTCTTCCCTATTTTGTCCTCCTTATGTAAATATTATGTATCAAAAGTGAGGGTAAAATTGGAAAAATAAGTATATGATTGTCATTTTCTAAAAAAAAAAAAAGAAAGAAAGAAGGTAAAATAGGAAAAATAGGAATATGCTTGTCATTTTGTCAAAAGGTACAAAATTACTATTTTACCTCCTTTTTTAATCAATAGGATATATCAAAAGTAAGGACAAAATAAAAAATAAAAAAAAAGTTGACAAAAAAAGTTCTGTTAATAATAGTACATAGATTTTAAGAGAACGGCAAGACGGCCAAGACTTTGCACTACTTTATATATGGGCCGACTAGTTACATTTAATTTATTTTCATTTCAAAATTAGTATTTTGCAGGAGTATTATAAGGTTCTACTCATACCAAGATCTCATATTATTTTTATTGTTTTCACTGCGTTATTTCTACATAAATTCTTACATGGATTATTTTGTTATTTTTTTAACCCTATGCTCTTAAAATTAAATTTTTAAAATTTTTATGCACTCAAATGTATAAACACATTGCTCGCTGAAGCATATATCACTTTTAATAACATAAACCAAGATCATCTCTATCTCTTCTCATGGTAAGAGGTAGATCATCTAGATCTATATTACTTAAAGCTGATAGAGGAAGCGTTGAATTAGCAATGTCAAAACAAAGTGACGCGTAAAAACGCTGGAGAATCTCCACTAAAGGATCTGCAGATCGATGCAACAGTGGAGAACTTGCGGGCCATTGTTATAGATAGTAAAATAATGTTATATATATAATCGGTGGAGATTCATGCAAATATATATACAATATAATTAAGTACAAACCATCACCCGAGGCCAGAAAATCCGGGTTTTATGCTGCTTCTTACACCTACAGGTCAGCTCTCAGCTCAGCAGCTCAAGATTGCATCACCAAATCCAAATTATTACTTGTTTGATCAAAATTAAAAAATCGAAAGTATTATTTTGACCAAAAACAAATCCAAATTATACATGATTTTTTTTTCTTCTTTAATTTCAAACATGGAGTAGAGGATTTACAATTTTTAGTGGGGTTACTGCATAATTTGTGGAACAACATGGATGTGATCCAAAGCTTTAATTAGATCTCCTTCTTCTTGGGAAAAGGAGTACTAGAGGGATATCCACAAATAAAACAACAAGAACAACCAATTTTATTCTACTAAGTGGGGTCGGCTGTATGAATTCTAAAATACCACTACACTTAGTTTTGAGCCAAGTCTTTCTTTAGCTCTAATATACTTCATATCTTTTCTTAAGGTTTCTTTCCCAGTATTCTTAAGTCTTTCTCTACTGCTTTTGCCCACCCTCCGTCTCATACATGTGCCCAGGTGTTGAAAATATTACTGTTCTCTCATGTCTAATATTCATTTGCAATGCTTCTTCTTGTTTTCTAGGAAAAATAAAAAAGAGTTACTTAAATCTTATATTAGTATATTATTTACTCTAATTACAGCAGGTAAACGACTGTCATATGACTCATATCCAGCAAGCCGGCCAATACTTGAGAAAGTTTTATTCTAATTAATGCATAATATTTTTTTCCCTAATTAATGCATAATATTTTTTTTTCCCTAATAAACACTATTTTTTTTTCTTTCTTTATAAAAAAATTATGAAAGGGTGTTATCCTCCACAAGAATATTGTTTCTGAAAATTTGTATTGACTCTTGATTTTTTATTTTGCTTGTTTGGACTGTCGGGATGTGTTATCACTCGTTTCATATGACAGCAACCAAAGAGTTTTCATGGCAGGCCAGTCCCTACTGTTTGAAGACTTGTTTTTTCTTTCTAATTACAAAATTAATTTGTTTAACGAGAAAGAAACATAACGTTGAAGAATGCCCTACAAAGTTGCGTCTCTTTTTTTGTCTGTGTAGTTAAGCTAGAGAAAATTTTCAATGTGCCAGAAACACAACTTTATCCACTAACTATTCTCGACACAGCTAGGTAGGGTTTCCTAGCGAGGCAAGCCAGTGGAACAATAGGCCCCAAATAATGTCTGCATGCGATTGTATGGTCAATTGAAGGTGCCCATTTTCTCAAGTAATTGTTGATTGCTTTTCATGGAACTTCTAAATCTGTGCAACTACAAATTCAGTTCACACAGCTAGTTGCCAATTTTTATTTCATTTTTATCGAAATTTCCAGTTTTGCTTTGTAATTCTTAGCTTTCATAACCCGCTTGGGTCAGCACACTAGTAAGGGTATGTGGAAATGATGTCGTGATCGGTAGGAGTTTGAGTTTAAGGGTTCAGAATTCTTATTTGCAACAACAACAAAAATGCTTATATTTCTATAAAAGCAAGAAAAAATATAGATATTATCGAAATTTGTCAAAGTGGGCTTTGATATTTCTCAATCTATATGTCATGACACAATGACAAATAATCCAAACCCAAATTGTTAATGACTCAATAATAAGAATTGAAGCGAATTGTTATTTACACTATGCTATTTTATTTGATCATCTTTGTCATCTATGGTTTAGTATGTTTTTTTTTCCTGGTGAGGAAAGAAGTAATGGCAGGTATGTGAGGAACAAAAAATGGCTTACCACTTAGTAGCAACGACAATAATACAGATACCGCAAGCTTTATTTAGTTTATAGGTGGATATTTAAGTCCCTGATCAATCTATAACTCAATTCTAAAAATGCGCCTCTTTCAACATTGAAAAAATAAGTATTATTATACTAAAAGCTAGTTCATGTCCATTACCTTATATTTGTTTGTTAATCAAGTCCTCAGCCTAATAATTCACTCACTACGATTGAGTGTGTGAGTGTGTGATGCTAATACAAACTCTAGTTAATGCCAACACTGACTATAAATTGTAAACTTTGCCGCGAAAATCTCATTTTTGCATGGATGATACTGTCCTTTGATCTTTTTCGATTAATTCAATCCGATACCGAAAATTGAAAAAAAAATGTTTCAAAAAAAAAAGAGTATGTGAATATCACGAACTTTTTTTTTTTTTTTTTTTGAAACCCAGAATATCACGAACTTTTGCAAAGAGAAAGAGAGCAAAACGCAAACACTAGCTTAAACTATTTGAAAGAGTGGACGTAAACGTGAAACCGAAGTCCACGCTTTTTCTCCCGTTTCCCGCGAAAATCTCAACGGTCTAAAAATAACGAAACCCTTTCTTCCCAATTTGCGTCCCTTCTCTCTCCCACCCTCTCACCCCCACGCCATTGTACGGATTTCTCCATCCTTCTCTCTCTCTCTCTCTCTCTCTCTCTCTCTCTCTCTCTCTCTCAACACTCCATCAAATCACATCATCAATTGATCAAGGTTATGAAAATTTGAATTTCAGAAATTCTCTCTTAAGTTTTCGCAAACAATTTTCGATCTTCGTGTGCGTGTGGGCGTGGAGATCAGTACCACGAGGTTCCACACCGCGGAATCCGAGTTTAAACCCGGAGTCCACCATGGAAGATGAATAGAATAATCCCCACGCCGGCCGCTAAATTCCGCCCCCTCTACACCGACCCTAACTCCGCCGACGTCTCCACCTCCGCCGTGCCCGACGAACAGAACCCGCTCACAATCCTATGGAACCACCAAATCCTCGACCCCGACAGCGATATCGTAGCGCATTGGAACCACATCTTCCTCGTCATATGCATTCTGGCCCTCTTCGTCGACCCTCTCTATTTCTACCTGCCTTGGGTCGGCGACACAGCTTGCTTGACCACCGACAACCAGCTCGCCGTCGTCGTCACCTGCTTCCGCACGCTCACCGACCTCTTCTACCTCCTCCACATGATCATCAAGTTCCGCACCGCCTATGTCAATCCCAGCACTAGGGTTTTCGGCCGCGGTGACCTCGTCATGGACCCCCACCTGATTGCCATCCGCTACTTGAAGTCCGACTTCATTGTCGATCTTGCCGCCACCCTTCCGGTCCCCCAGGCATGGCATTCAAACTTTGATTTGATTAAGTAATTAATTTGTAATACGTTTCATGTCATTGTATTGAATTGAATAACTCGCTAGATTCAAAGTATGTTGAAGGAAGTAACGGAGCCAAGCTTCCCAATTTTGTACAAGTTGAAGTAGATGATGAATTGGTTACGAAAGAAATGGATAATTGGACAAAATATGGAAGTTGGCTTCATTTTAGTGATTCGTCTAATATGATCGAATTCTAGCCAAATTTCGGAAGTTAGGGCTCGTTTAGGAGTTGATTCTGCACTTTAAACACGTGAGGGTTGTTTCTCCATAAAATCAATTTAGCGATTTCTAAAGTGATTTACGGAGAAGCATATGAGAGAGGTGCTTAGTGATTCTGGCCTTCTTAGAAATGGGATTCATTAATGAGAAGCCACAGGAGAGGTACTTCAACATAGCCTCTCGATATCCTATCCAATCGTAGCCACCAAACATGGGCAATTTTAATTTGTGATTCCCTTTGATTGCTTGCAAGAATCGTGTTTCTAGTTGACACCGATAAATTAGTTTGGAATGATTCTCCAGAAAGCGTAGTAGAGTATTGCTTTTGAGGTTTTGTAAACAAAAGTTTGCTTTGCTTGACTTGTTGCGCAGCTTGTAATCTGGTTGGTGATTCCAGCAACGAGGAATTCGAGAGCTGATCATGCCAACAACACTCTGGCACTGTTCGTTTTGATTCAGTACATTCCTCGGATCTTCCTCATCTTCCCGTTGAATCAACGTATCATAAAGACAACCGGTGTTGTAGCAAAGACTGCGTGGGCAGGAGCTGCATACAATCTCCTCCTCTTTGTTCTAGCCGGCCATGTAAGCAACAAAGCAATCATCCATTAATTGTTTACTTCTGATAAACTCATCAATGCAGCTAATTACTTTGGTTAAGTTAATTCAACACTAATTCCCTTTGCTGCTATAGATAGTTGGATCTGTCTGGTATATATCTTCCATAGGGCGGCAGTTCTCTTGCTGGAAATCCTATTGTAAAGAGGAGAACTCGAAAAGGATTGTTTCTTGCCTCACAAGTTTTCTGGATTGTAGTAGTACAGAACTACCAGAACGGAAGTACTGGGTCAACGTCACCGAAGTCGTTAAAAGTTGTGATGCAAATAATGAGAAAGCCAAATTTAAGTTCGGAATTTTTGGGGATGCTTTCAAGAGTGATGTTGCTACTACAAAGGACTTCTATCCAAAGTATCTGTATTGTTTGTGGTGGGGTTTAAGAAACTTAAGGTATCATTCTACTTAAATGTTATAACTCTGTAACTGCTATGTTACGCGAATCTTTGCTGTCCATTTGTTTTCTGTGGAGAAATCTAAGCTGCATCTGTATTCACTTCTGACCATGTTCGATTACTGAATCGATTTTGAAATCTGTATTCCTGGAAATAGTTTGACAAATGATTTTCTCAACCAATGCTCTATAATTGGCCTTAGAAATAAATATACAGATACGTAAGATATACATCGAGTTCCATCGATCTAGTTGATCATGATTAATTGCTTTAGGAACACATACATATAGTCGTGCACACATGAATGATGCACCTACATAATAACTATTGACAACACACACACACACTCGTGATCTTTGGAGAAACCTTTTCTCTTTTTCGGTTATTCTTGTCAAGAAAGAATCGATGAATGCCGGACTTCAAGCGTTTTAAGATAGTATTTTCATGTACTCTACCGTTGTTAGTCCTGATACGGTCCTTTCTCTTTGTAGTTCATATGGGCAGACTCTGAAGACGAGCACGTACTTTTGGGAGATAATGTTTTCCATTACACTATGTCTCACTGGTCTAATTCTGTTCTCATTATTGATTGGCAACATGCAGGTATTGTATGACCTTTCAGCACCAGTACTATTTATGTAGTTGTATGTTGATCGTGTCAGGGTTGCAGTTATATAGATCGACTGCGATTTGATGAAAAGTGTTTGCAAATACTGATGCTGTCTAACTGATACTTGCTTTTCCCTTGTTTCAGACTTATCTGCAATCAATGTCGATAAAATTCGAAGAATGGAGGATTAAGCTAAAAGATACTGAGGAGTGGATGAGGCATCGGCAGTTACCTGAGGATTTGCGCGAACGTGTTCGTAGATTTATGCAGTACAAATGGTTTGCCACACGAGGAGTTGATGAAGAATCCATATTGCGGTCATTACCTTTAGACCTCTGCCATGAAATCCAGCGGCACTTATGCCTTTCGCTTGTTCGTCGTGTAAGTCTCTGTCATGAAACCCAAAACCCTATCAGTGGATCAATGGATTATGTATGCAACTAAAGCAGTTGAATTTTCGCAAATGGAGGTATTTCTACTTTGATAAATCCGATTCTGTTATTTTTCAGGTTCCTTTTTTTTCACAAATGGATGATCAGCTTCTCGATGCCATATGCGAACGTCTTGTCTCATCCTTGAGTATCCAAGGCACGCATATAGTTCAAGAGGGTGATCCAGTAAATGAGATGCTGTTTATCATTCGAGGGAAACTCGAGAGCTCCACAACCAATGGAGGGAGGTCCGGGTTCTTTAACTCCATCGCTCTTGGACCTGGGGACTTCTGCGGCGAGGAACTGCTGACATGGGCCTTGATGCCAAGCTCTAGTCTCAACTTGCCTTCATCCACGCGGACAGTTAGAGCTCTTACCGAAGTTGAAGCTTTTGCACTTCGAGCGGAGGACCTTAAATTTGTTGCTGGGCAATTCAAACGCCTTCACAGCAAGAAACTACAGCATGCCTTTAGGTACTATTCCCACCAATGGAGGACATGGGGTGCTTGCTTTATCCAAGCCGCTTGGAGAAGGTTTAAGAAGCGAAAGATGACTAGGGACTTGGCTATGCAGGAGAGCTTCTACTATATGCAAAATCCAGGCCAAGAGGAAGACGGTTACTACTACTATGACGAAGAACAAGCAGGTGGAAATTATGAGGGTGATGCGAGTGGTGAGAGATCAGGAGAGACTGCAAGCAATTCAGGCCAAGGCCAACATCTTGGGGTCACATTTCTCGCTTCCAAGTTTGCTGCAAATACAAAACGCGGAATTGCACAGAAAGCGCAGGTGGTTGAAGCTGCTTCTCCCAGTTTGGACATGCCTCGGTTGTTAAAGCCAGATGAACCTGATTTCTCTGCAGATTGAGACAATATACGAAAATGAATGATCAGGGAACAGGAAAACGATCTAACGAAAGAATAGTTAGGAACAAAAATTTGTTACAATGACGTAAATTTATACTGCAGTTAGATTAGCAATGACCATCAGTTTTCTAGTTCTATAATGTTAAATTATTCGCTCTTATATATCGGTATAATGACCTGTAATAGATTAAATGTATTAACTACTGTTCTCCAAGATTCTAGCTTATGGTATTTGAATTTAGTAGCTAAAATTAATTTTCAACCTAAATTGCGATACAAGCGTGCTGTGACGCTCTTGCTTGTGGCCATTTTGGACTTAATATTCGGAAATCCATCAAGGTTGTAACGCATTATGCAGAAGGTGCAGGTTAACCACAATGGGATCTTTCATGCTCGAAAGTGCAAAACATTTGGCTTTTACGAACACACTGGATGAGTGCGCGCTAGAGGACTGCGAATTTACAGCTTCAGTAACTATTTGCAGGTGAAGGATGCTGCCTACTACTCCGGAAAGAGACTAGCAAGTTCGATCATAATTTCGTAGTACCTCTGAATTTCCGTATCCACGTTGTACAGTTGAGCATGGAAATACTTGTACATCTGTAAGTTCTATGAACTTCTACTATTTCATAATTCCAAATTTTGTCATTTTAGTTTACCAACGCCTGCATTTAGAATGCTGGTTTTAAACTCACGCACACGTCCACACGCGAATTTGATGCAGAATCACAAATGCATTTGTATTCTGCTAATAGTATTGACATATTGTTACGAGAGTAAAATTGAACTATGAACACTAAAAAAAGCATTCTCATAACAATTTATAAGTTAATAGTTTCTGTTTCTGTTTCTATTTCTGTTTCGGGAATTTAAACTGTCAATACGAGAAGCTAGCATCTGGTGAATCTTCAGGAGTAGAGGCCTTTGCATGCGTTGATATGTCATGCGCCTCCTGTAATCTCACAACAATTTGCTGCATTGACGGTCTTTGTTGTTTGAGTGCTGTGCATGAGAGAGCCAGCTGAAGCGTCAGATTAAACGCTTCTTCTGAGTATTCCCCATCAAGTTTAGGATCGGCAAATTCATTGATGCTGCCATCTCGGTTGAGGACCTTTGCCTAGCAAGTAGAAAGAACAGATTGAATCAATGCCGGAAAACTTATGTAATCAATTTGAAAGAGAAAAAAAAAGATTGTGGGAGGAAATGGTGATTTTCTGACCTGTTTATTTAATGGCATTGGAGTGTTCAGATTCATGTTGATAACTTTCTTCCCCGATAGGATCTGCAGAAGTACGATTCCAAAGCTGTAGACATCTCCTGATGAATTTACGTGGTTGTTGTTCCGATAGTCAGGATCAACGTACCCGAAAGTTCCTCTCACTTCTGAACTGACATAGGTTTCTCCCAGCTCAATAATCTTGGAGAGTCCAAAGTCTGATAGCTTTGCTTCAAAATTCTCCCCAAGGAGAATGTTTGTTGGCTGCAACAAGAAAAAATACCATCTTAGAGAGTCCAACTTTCTCATTCATTTAGGGTGACACTGTTCAGTTGGATCCTCATACCTTGATATCGCGATGGACGATGCAGCCTTCTGGATACGTGTGGAGGAACGATAGACCTCGAGCGCTATCAATTGCAATCTCAAGCCTGTGGATCCAGGACAGGTTCCTATCTTTCCCTGTTGTTTAGTTACCACATTAATTTATTAACCTCCACAAAACCTTTAGTTTGAAAAGCTAAAAAATTTCGTGTCAAGGCAAAAGAATACCGAAAATCCATTCTGAGAGGTTTCCGTTGGGACAAAGCTCATAGACAAGGAAGCACTCATCTTCGTTTGCACAATAACCTAGCAAAGTAACAAGGTTCGGGTGTCTGATGTGCGATAAGCTTGTAACTTCTCTGGCAAATGTCTCCACATTTCCGTCATTGATAGTGTGCTTAACTGCTACACGCTGATTGTTTGATAGTACGCCTTTATACACCTTTCCTGTTATATTATGAACAAAATATATATAAATTATAAATCATCAGATTATACGATATCTATGTTGGTTTTACATCATCTTTTATTTAGATTCTTACCAGCAGTTCCTTCGCCGATGAAATTTGTTGGGCTTAGATTGTCTGTAGCAGAATAGACTTCCTTGATAGGAATTTTTGGACAGCCTGAGTCCTCGAAGATTGCTTCCTTAAATGCTGCTGTTTACGTACAAATCAGGCTTAATTAGTATGCACCATATGCTAATTGCAGCTTAGATTTGGTGTTGATGTAGCTGTGAATGAATTAGTGTCTGGCATACCGGCTTTTTTGGGTGGTGGTGGAGTTGATTTGGTACGTTTCTTGGACAAAATGCAGGCAGCTAGTACTACAAAAACAAAGGCAACCACGACGCCTCCTCCAATCATAATCCATAAACCTAGTTCCATCAAGTATCGTAATTGTTAGTGAAAGAACCTGGTTTTCAGTATTGAAAATGTGAGTATTGATTCGGTGATGGAGGAAGCCTTACCTTTACTGAATTTCCTGTGACCCTTCGGCGGTTGATCATCTGCCAAGGAGAAAAACATCATGTACAAACAACTTTTAATGAATCAATACACGCGCATTGTGAGAAGTTTTATCAGGCTACATACCAGAGAAGCCTTCTTGTGACCCAAGGCAACTATAAACTGCAAGAAGATGCCCTTTATCTTCAAGTTTAATGCTTGTATACGACACCAGCACTGCGAACCTGCAAACATTAGTTTGAGATTCCAAAGATTCTGCATCCCAGGACGATGAACGCAATGGTCCTATGTCTTCCCAACTCTTCACACAAGAACCGCACATCTGCCCCTTTTTTCCATCAGAAAACGGGAATCCACACTTCCTCTCCAAACCTTTCAACTTGTCGCCCAATCTATTCCTAACTTCAGCGACAGAGAAGTCAGAGCAGCCACCGGCACCACTTGTCAACTTCTCAATCCCACAGCCGAAAACATCCTTCTGCAAATTTTTCATGGAAGCCAAGCAAACCCCCTGCTCGGCAGAGTCGAGGTATATCAACCCTGTTTGATTCGCGCGCTGCCCCAACGCGTAGAGGTAGTCATTGAACGCTGATGCGCAGCAGTCTTTGTGCAGAAACCCTCCCCAGTCCCCTTCTTCGCAAGTTGAATTTGGAGACGGGGATGATCCCAAATCAAAATGAAGGCTGCAGTTGGACTCAGAAGGCATAGCAGCAGCAAAGCCAGCGGTGGTGATCAGTATGAAGATTGTAGCATAAACAAAAACTTGTTTCGCCATTTTCGGACCAGAGGGAAACGATGAGAGAGAGAGAGAGAGAGAGAGAGAGAGAGAGAGAGAGAGATGAGGTCTAATGTGAAGACAGTTGAAAGAGTTTGGATGCATCGCTTGTACGAATCAAAAGAGGAATATTTGGAGGGTTTTGCTGCCGGCCTAAAGTCCAATGCAAGCAAAGCTGAATTGAACTCGAGATATTTGGCGGGTAGTTTAACGATGGAAAACGTCGCTGTTTGATTCATTCTGTGTTTTTGGCTCTGTCTCTCTGTGTTGATGAAAACTTCTGAAGCGTACAAGGCAGACGGAAACTGACGGCCGTTGTGACAGTTAGTGACAGTTACTGGTGGTGAAAAAAAGTGCTTCTCTTTGGACACAAGGGAAAAGGCCTTTTTTCATCCTGTCACTGTGATTAGCAGCAAGTTTATGGTAGGATTTTCAACTTTTAAGTCCTCAAATCTAAAGTTTAATTTCTCATTGTCTATAAGAAGTCTTCAAATCAGCGCTTATCATTGCCATTATCTACTACTAGCCTTTATGCACCTGCTGATGCGTTCGCAAGAAGTTTTTTTGAATCACGTGCGTTACGGACGACTTACAGATTTTTAACCAAATGTGTTAAGTATGACTTACAAATTTCTATTTTGTTGCCGATATTCAGATCTGCCTAGATATTTTATTACAGATTCCCACGGTGCGGGGTTGCCATACCATATCCACTCGATCACAGTTACACTTATATGTGGGGATTTTTTCCATCTCTAAGTAAATAAGAAATAAGAATTGAAATTATTTTAATTCTTGAATTTTATGCGTTTACTAATATATGGATGAGAGAATTATCTCACTACTTAACTTTTTTTTCAAATTTATGTACACGTAAAAAATAAATAAATAAATGCACGTTTCCTCTTAAATACCGAAAAATAAGAAATCAGATCGACAACATATACTAGTTGTTCTGATTGTATTTTCATCATTGTCAAATGTTAAAGCTTTTCAATTCTCATTTTGTAATTGGCCAATTCCTCTAAACTTTTCTAATATTAATTTTTTCCATAAGATTAAAACCATATTTTTTCAGAAAAGCAATGTGAAGAATATCAAAGATATTTGAGAAAGGTATATAAAAAGAAAAAGAAAAAGAGGTAAAAGCACAAGCCAATAAATCAGTCCTTGAGTTAGAAGAACAAGAAATCTCTGAAGCCTGGATCGCCCTTGACCAGTTACTAGTAATTCCCTCTCTCTCTCTCTCTCACGTTAGGTAAGGGTTCTGAAAGAGATCGGTGAATTCAATTTAGGGTTTTGCGATAATCTAACTCAAAAGTTTGCATCTTGATAAAGTTCAATTATTTGGTTCTGAATCTGAGCTTGGTTATTGGTTAATTGATTGCAGATTTGTGAGCTCTGTCAAATGGAGAAGGATCAGAAGGTTGCATCGGAAGAAGACCCCAAGATCGATTTGTTCGAAGACGACGACGAGTTTGAGGAATTCAACATCAATGAAGGTAATTTTTGGAACCCTAATTTTGTTTATTATCTGTAGTTATATATATTTTTTAGTAGTTAGTAGGTATGCAGCTATTTGTTCTGTAATTGCTTCCAATTACTTCATAGAATTGATAAACTGAAGTGGGTTTGTTTCGATTAACTTCTTGCTATTATTTTTAAACTTATAAGATCGTCCTGCTACTTTTACTTGCGAAACCGATTCGTTGTGAGGAGCGTGTAATTCGTATATCCTAGCATTATCTTAGCATACAGTCCATCTAGTCTGGTCTTTGAAGATAATGATGATTGCGAAATAAGTGCGAGAGGAACCTCCTGATTTCGTGTTGTGTTATCTTCGATTGTTGTATGAAATATCCAAGCCTGTAAATTGATTTTGGCATCAGAGCACCAACACCCCGCGATGATGCTAAGGAGGTTACTTGTTGAGACAGATGGCATTGATTCTTTGTGCTAAACAGGATATTTGGTTTCGTTTTAGGATGCAGCGGCGGCATCTATGTTTTGTATTTTGTAATTGAGGCAGCCTTCAGTAGATATTATTTTCAGGATATGAAACAGCGGTTTGCGAAATAACAAGGTTTGAACTTGGATGTTACAACGCGATGAAGTCATACAAAGATGTGTTTAGTTATAAACTATGACTACAGATTGTGTTTGGTGGAATACATTCTTCCATTTAGGCTTCACCTTTTCATTTTAATGAACTTTGCGTTTATGAAAACTATTAAGTTGAACGGGATATACACAATGGGTTTTCTCCCTTAGTTACTGATAGGATAAAGCATTATCTTAAATTTTTATAATTTCTTTTTGTTATTGACTTGGTTCCTGTGTTTATGCGGGCAGAGTGGGATGAGAAGGAAGAAGAGATAGATTCAACACCACAACAATGGGAGGATGATTGGGATGATGATGATGTCAACGATGATTTCTCTCTGCAGCTGAAGACAGAACTCGAGAGCAACGCTGAGAAGAGTTAAGTTCATGTCTCATTGGCTTCCTTCCTAATGAACTTCATGATCGTAGTGATTCGGTATAACCTAGTATGCCTGTGATTTGGTGGGTAGCCAAGCCCTTTCATTAGAGTACCAAAAACTGCAGTATTTACCGTTGTTGTTTAAAGATAATCGACTTGCAAGATTTCAGTAACTCATTATGTTCGGAATCATGAAGAGTGAGGAGCACCACGTAACTATGTTCTCTCGATTATCATTCTGTTTTTGAATGTGGTCAGTTTCTTGCTTTTGAAGTTTATGTATGAGTCAGTAGTTAAGAAATTTATAGGCTTCGAATGGAATTTCGTCTAACGTGCTGTAGGACGAAGCTTCTAACTGCATGCATCACTTTCATGGCTATCTCTACAGCTTCAGATCCCCTTCTTCCTCTTCGATTTCTTCATCTACGCTGTCGACTATCTCACTGTTCGTCTGCTCAGTCTCTTTCTGTAATGCCCTCCCATCTTCCCCCTAATCTTCGAACCCATGCGATAGCTATGACCTTCTTCCCCGATTTGTCCTTTTTCGGCATACAATACCTTGTCGCCCATTTTCAATAGTTACAAACACATCCCGACGTTCGTAATATGCCAATCAATTTTGTATCGAGTTGTTATTTGCACTATAAAAATTAAAAAAACTCGTCGTCCACGGGTGAATTTAAAATAAATAATGGAAAAAAGATTACTATTTTGAAGTACTAGTAATGCAGTGCGCGCTCCACCATCGGTATCCAAGTTTGAATTTTCCGCCCCCCCTTATTTTAGGTGAATTTTAGCATAATTAGTATATCGTTTGTTAAAAAAATACTAGTAACATTTTCTGAGGCAAAGGAGTGGAGGATAAAATTTATGATAATAATAGCGCACTTAGCATAAGGGCTATGTTTAGACGTAAAATTGACAAAACCATTCTCCAACCAAAGACGGCCTTGGGCTACAAGAACAAAGCTACATGTAGCCCAAGGGCTGGACACGAGTAGCCAGCCCTTCAGCCGTTGGCTTAGTTCATCTTCTTCCATCACTTGGCGTTCGCGCTCCTCCAGTTCCGAATCCAAATTAGAACTGGAAGCGCAATTGAAATTCATTGTAGAATTGTTTTGAAACATGTTTGAATGGATTGTAGGAAATGTCTGAATGATAGTGGAAATGTTTGAACTCGAGAGCAACGTCTACCCTAATGAGTTACATGCAGACTTCTAAATACGTATATAATTGACAACAAAAAGGAGATACTAAACAAACTGTACGCGGTGTTTCAAAAAAAAAAAAAAAAAAAAACTGTACGCGAAGAAAAGTAAAAATAAATAAATAAATCAATAGTTATAATTTTGTACAACTTCCATCGAAGGTGACGATGATCTAGTGTTCTAGGGCTGTTCGACGGGCAGAATTATCACCTGCCAAAACCACAAACACTTTCAAGTAACTTTCCTGTATAGACATCGGATAGAAGCAGGCCTAGCTTTTCGAGACAGCGTCAAGCGTTACCACCTTGTTTTGCCTTGAGGACAAGCTCCTCTGTGGTGGTGCCAATGATCTCGTTAGCACGCTTCAGCCCAACGCAGTAAAACCGTCCAACAGAATCCTAAATTCATGGGCAGTTTCAAGTAAGTAAAAGGAAATGAAAAAAAATGGTCTTCCAGGAGCGAGCGTGGCTGTTTCTCACGTCCTACATTTCCTTTTCACGGTTATATTTAAGCAGTGATAATCAGTCTCGGTTGAAATACAACTCTATAAACTATCACAGAAGGGCTTTATGGAGTCTTACCTGAGCAACAATTTTCAATTTCACCAACTTCTGAACTGCATCCTCCACCTCGAAATTGCAATTGGCGTGAAACTCATCTTTAATTAGTTCCTCACACCACCTATCCAGGTCCTATAACAAATCATCCCCAGTAAGACTTCAGCAATACTAGTTAAGAATGCATATTATAATTCTTGTAATTACTCGGAAACTGTAAATGGAAGTAGAAAAGCAATCTGAGAGATATGTACTTCTAAAGTAGCTTTCCCTTGCTCCATTAATATATAGTAAGCAATTATCACCTCCTTGACCTGCACATTCAAGAGATTGAATACCGGTATAATCTTGAATAAATTCCAATTTTAAATGAAAAAAAAAATGAAGTTTAGGTTATATCATTAACATGTCGCAACTGGATCAATTCTGTTTAGATACCAGTAGGACATAAACCCTGAAATTCTTCCTTTCGATTGTATCTCACATTAGATACGTGTAAATAAATTGTGGAACATTCAAGCTAAAGTCCATAAGGGTAAGCAACCAGCTAAGGTTTTGGCACTGCGCCACATTTCTATGAGTACGTGCAACCGTGAGCATTAGTCTTCGTTTCTATGAGAATGTCTATAAAGTTTACAACTTACTTCCTGTTGAATCACATCATCACACAAGTGAAGAAGAGTGCCCCTTCCGCTATCTAGTTGTTTGTCATACATGGACTGTGTTATCAAGTTCTGATATGCAACCAAGTTCTGCTGAAATCTACAGACAATTAAGAAGTAATAGGCACATTAGTAATTAACAACTTATTCAATTGCGGAAAACGATAAACAATAACGTATCACCCCCAAGCAACCAAATTGGAAAAACATGAATTGTAACAAAACTTTACGTGAAGTATATCTTAGCACAGTAACCAATCACAGTCGAAAGAATTGCAATAATGACCCAAAGATCAGCTTTAGGCATTTCAACCGAACCAACAACGGCAACCTGCAAAAAAAAGAAATGGTAAGCTGCATTTTCACCACAAAAATGACGAACAGTGCACCAATACAAACTTCATTGCTATCTCAATAAACTGACCAGCCCAACTACAGCAGAAACAAGGAACTTGACCCAGTCCATTGGAGTTAATCCCGGGTTCTTCTTCTCAGGCTGTAAATGGCAAAAGGTTCCACACCAGGTCATCAGTTGTACAAGGGCTATGAGAAGTATAAAATCCCATAAAAGAGAGGAAAAGAAGAAAGGGCAAGAGAAACGCACAAGAACTATCTCCATATCAGCCATCGGAATATTTCTGAAGTGCTTTACATATATTCCCCGTTCTTCTTTCGCTTTGGTACTTGCCCGCCTGAACAGTAATCATTCTCTTATCAATAAGTATTTTTTCAAGGTCCCTTCAAGACTGGTTTCCTAGAGCATGAATTCAATTAGTAGGCAATTAACCCCCCTTGCCCTTCAAAAAATCCATAAAGTATCATGCATTGAACTTTCTCCAATATAAATCAAAACTGTTTGAAGGCCTAGTTTTCCTTTGCAAAAGAATACACTATAAGAAGCAACTAGGAGCACGCTCATTTCAAATAATTTAGACTGTCAACACTGATATGCCTAACCTTGTGACTTGAATACTAGCCAAATTTTTCACAAGAAGATTATAAATAAAATAAATAAAAAATAAAAAAAGGTATGTTCAGTCTAAAAAACAGTACCTGTAAACAACAATTATCCTGTCAAAGGTTGGCTCTTTGATTGTCGTCTTGCTCAGCAAATTTTTAACACTGAAGGACACAGCATATAAATGTCATGAAGTGGAAATAATTACCTTAAGATTGAGACAAGGAATACGGAATCAGGACTAAAATGATTTTAATTGCTGTTGAACTTTAGTATATATGTATACTCTGAAATAAAGAGTATAGTTTAAAATTAGAGAACTTTCAGCATAAGTCCGAGAAAAATCCTAGGAATATATAGATCACAATGAAAATAAATGTTTAGGATATTCCAGAGTAATCCAAAGCAGTCTATACTCTATATGGACAAGAATTCCAAGTTTCAATAGAGATGGAAAACTTCAGGATCCATCCAACTGAAACCTAAGAAATCATGAATGAAGAAATAAGATCCCGCTGCATAGAATGGCAAGCATATAGCTCAGTAATATACCAAAACTAATAGCTCCACAAGAAAATACACTAAAACTAAAGCTGGATAAAGAATAACCGTAGTTCCATTTTTTCTAGACGGATTCTTTCAATAAATAAGTCTTCATCTTCTCCATCTGCTCCAGAGACAATCTCATCATTCTTTTTTGGATCAGACTTAGGTCGTCCACTTGACCATCTGGATAAAAGTTTTTCGATCCTGCAATCAGCATAACACCAAAAATGAAATACACAAAGAAACTCTTAAGTTTGAATAAATTAATATCTAAAACACATCTTCTCAGCTATTTGCTCAATGGTTTTGGCAATACCAATCACCAATGATGCAAACTATGATGTTCCAGTTATTGGTCAACGATGATGTTTCATTAAAAGACTCATAATTGTTCACCTAGTTTACAGTTTAAATAGTTTCAACTATTATCTCCAAAGTTATGTTATTCCAATTTCCAGTAGGTCAATAATAGACAACAGTTAAAAAAATTATTTACCTAGTTATTCGTAAAAGATATGCCCAAAAGCGTGCAATCATCATGTCCACTTTCTCCATGAAAAAGTAATCAGTTGTCTGATCAAGTCCAACGCCACGCCGGAAGATAATGTACTGAAGTATGAAACAATGCAGATTAGATCTCTAGAAACACAAAGACAGTGGAAGGAAGAGAGGGAAGGTGGGAGGCTAACTAGTATTTCCTACATTAACAAGGAAGAGGCAGATAATCTAAATAGAGCCAATCCTATATAAAATCAACTCAAAATATTACGGGTTTAAAATTCCAAATTGTTTCCAGTGTTTTATAATGAACTTGAACTACCTTATCAGCAAAATCTGGAAGGTTTGGTTGAGGATGCTCAGCGAAATAATTCTTTAAGAGCTTCTTATCAAGCTGCATTCAACAGAAGCAATACTTGGGATCAGGGAATGCGAATGACATGAATATACTAACGTTATCAGGTATGTACTTAATGAACTGAAACAGGAAAACATATTTGCGAGTACAACAAACCTTAGATTCGTCAACTGTGATGGGTAGATTTAGAAGATACTGGCCTGAACGTGCAACCTCAATTTCCTCATTACTTGTTATCTTGAAATTACTCTTCTCCATCACCTGCATCATAACTAGCAGTTTAGTTGTCCTACTTTCAAACTGGTTTCCCATTGCGTAAATATAATCACTCAGTTCCGACAAGAGCTTTCTTTTGGCTTCTCTTTTTTTCACTTTTTCATGTTTCTTTTAGTTGTATGGGCATACGAGAAAACAAAAACATAAAAAGACATAAAGTGAATCAGCCTTAGAACCTGAAATAAGTACTTCAAGAAATTCTGCTCAAGCACATCAACTTCTTCTGCGGAAAAGTTCTGCTGCTCTAATTTTTTAGCCCCATTTACAGGATCAAAGAGGGAGTACAATTGCTGCAAAGAAAATTTGATAACATGAGAAAACAATACATGCCGATTGTTGATGCGAATCGTCTCCATGTCAAAAGGGCACTGAATACATGAGCATACCATCAAATCCTCGAATTGCAGAAGATACCAAGCCCGAATTGTGTACTCAACTCTCTTGCACAACTTCAAAAACTCCGCCCGGTCGGAACTATGCTCTGCAGAATTTCAAAAAACCCAGATTTTTCAGTTAAGCAAACACAATGCAAAACTAAACAAGATCAAAACTTTGCAGCAAACCCTTAAAAGTTCGAGAAAACATAAACAACCCACGAATCGAATTCTTCCGGCAGTGCCAAAACAGCAAAATTTAAACAAAACCCAGCTAAGCAAATGCAAAACCAAACAAGAACAAATCTTTGCACCAAACCCACAAAAGTTAGAGAAAACAAACACAACCCATGAATCGAACCGGGCCGACAAGTGCTAAAAGCATCAAAATTAAAACAAAATAAAATAAAATTTGAACAAAACCCAGAATTTAAACAAGCTGATAGAAGAACCCACCAATGAGGTTGGCCAAGGTCATGATAATCTTGGGCTTGATGATTGGGATGACGGATTCGCGCTCTATTCGAATCATATCCTTCTTCTTCTGCTCCATATTTTGTGCTTTGTTTTCTCAGAATTCTGAAAAACTGGAAGCGGAATAGGCAATGGCAGATGCAACACCGCTGCCCCTTTTTAGTTGGGTTGAATTTGGGTTCTTTATCGGGATTACAATCAAAGGTTTCTTGGGGTTTTGGTTTTGGAATTTCTTGTGGGGTTGTTTGTATTCTTGCGAACAGAGAGTGTAGTGTCGGGGGAGAGAGAGAGTGAGGCGGAAGGGAGCCAGCCACAGAAACCGAACCAAGTGGAAAAGGGAACAGTGATACTGCCGGTGCTGGTGACAAATATCTTTAGGTCGCATTGATTGGACTCAATGGATTTACGGCGGTCTAACTAGTTTACCAAAGTTTTTTTTTTGGATAAAGATTGTCTGTCGACTCATTTTCGGTACTCTTCCATTTTTACTGTTTTATGTGATTACGATTAAGCTACATTAATATTTTATATTATTTTTTTTTATAGAGGTAATAAGATAAAAATAAATAGTTATATAAAATATTGACGTGGTTTAACCGTGACCACACAAACAGGAAGGCACCGGAATTGGGAGGGTAGACAATCCTTGTCCTTTTTTTCGGGATAAATTAGCATGTTTGGTACTTTATTTCAATTCAACATTTTAAATTCAAAAATAATTTTCAAGTTTTTGGTTTTAAAAATTTGATTGGTATGACTATTTTCTAAAACTAAACTTAAGACTAACTCAAAATTGTAGTATATTCTCTAAAAACACAAAAAGTAAGTTTTTAGAGTTTTTAAACTTAAACATACTCATTTCTTTTCTCTCTCTCCTCTCCTCTTACTCCAAATAGTATTTGTTGATCTTTTTGCGTTTTTCAAATACAGCTATTTTTATATTATTAATCTAAGCTTTCTAAGAGAAGGGGAGAGTTTGAACTTGGAATGCGATAAGGAAAAGAAAATGCCCTAATTACCAGAGTAATCTACCACTTGCAATATAACTGTTAGGTTAAGGAACACAATGAATCAACTATAACAATCTAAAATCGAACTTGTTATTTACATGAGTCAAACATAAAACTTTACACTTATAAAGGCAAAGTAATACTATTATATCGGTAACACCATGCAATAGTGTAACTATCATATGAAAATGCACAAAATGTGCTCAGAGCTTTTGCAGGGAAAAGGATCCTCACCAGATCCTTTTTCCTAGGGATCCTGTGATCATGGTCATTCATCGTACATCGTACGGTCAGTTTTCGTTAGGTACTATTTATATTTAATTTTAAATTTCAAATAATTTATGATCACACGATTTATAATGAATGGACACGATCACGGGATCCCCCAGATCCCCAGGAAAATGATCCGACGAAGATCCTTTTCCCTTTCGCAGTTAGTGGTGGGCTCGTAAAACTGAAAATCGAAAAAATTAGATTGAATACTTAACCCAAAAAAAAAAAAAACAAACAAACAAACAAACAAACAAACCGAATAAAGAAACTCTTGGTTTGATCTTGATTTTGGTGGTTCATAAACCAAACCAAATCAAATGATGTAAATTAAATTTTATCTTTATTTATTTATTTATCTTGGATATTCATTTTTCAAGCTCAATTCCAAGTCAACCATTAGCCTATTTTCAATTCAAGGTTCGGTAAACTTAATCTTAGGCCCAAAATGTTGAAAGCCTTAATCACTAATTTGTTCTTCAATTTCTCTCCAGTTTCTATTTTAAAAAGAAATTGGAAAAAAAAAATGAAACCAAACCGAAAAGACCAAACTGAAATAATTCGATTTCTTCTTTACAAATTAAAAAACCAAACCAAACTGAATAGTAATTCCGGTTTGATTTTCAATTTTGGTTGAAATCTAAACTGAAGTGAAACGGACCTACTTGCACTTTTATGACGACGAAAAAATACGTTGTAGTCAGGAAATCTTAGGTCGATGCTCGTGGATGACGACATTGATACCAAATCAGATTAGTGGATAATGTGACTTCATCCAACTTCCTCCTTTTTTAATGCAACAAGGCGTAATTTTAACTGCTTCAACCACAAGCCCTCTTAAAAAAGTCCAGTTTAGTGGGTAACAATAAAGAAAAGTTCATGTTTGGTGCGCATAAATCAATAATTTCGTTACCGAAACAGCTTATGCTACCAAGTGAGCCCCCTGCATTTGGGTTGACACTAGCGTGGGGCTTCCCGCTCGGATGTTAAGAGGTTCAACAAGTGACGTGGTCGGACACCCCTACACAAGTTAAGTAAAACGCAAAAGCGAGCGAGTAATGAACACTTCGTGATCACAAAATATCTAAAACCAAAGCTAAGCGGCCGGGATGTGGTTGGCTAAGAATGCATGGGCTGATTAGACTTTTCACCCAATAATATGGGTGAGGAAGGAACACTGTCATTGTGTGAGCGGATGGGCAGCAAATAATTGAATAAAAGAAACATCTCAACATTTCAACAGCAACGATTGAAGGAACAAAGCCAGGCAGTAATAACTTGACCTGTGAAGAATATTATCGTAGAACTATGGCTCAACTACATGCTCCGACTGTAGACCGAACATCTCAACCTTTCGAAGAATTTACAAACACGAAAAAATGAAAAGAGAAATTGATGAAGCAAATCAAATCAAGGGCAGATATAGGCTTTCCTAAAGCTCATATATGTTGAAAATGGAGATAAAATGCTACTAAAGCTCATGCGTGTTTCAATTTAAACCTGTGTCAAGAGCCCACAAGACCTTCCCGAGATATACTGGTAACCCGAAGAACAGCTTGTGCACTGAGAGGCGAGAGCTTTGACTGACAAAAGTTCTCCCATGAGCTCGTTTCTGAGAGCTCAGGCGCTGGTGCTGAGCTCGTTTCTGGATGTTCAGACACAGCTGCTGGTGGGGGATAATCAAATTTCTCGTAAACAGTCTGCAGCTCCAGGAGGAGGATCCGAGCAGCCTCCCTCGACTCAGGAAGCTGGTCACGAAGCTGGGATGCAGCAATTTGAATTAATTTGTCAATCCCATATGCTTTAATACCTTCAACACCCTGTTGACAGAAACACGATAAGCATATAACAGGAAGAAATGAGTAGAACCACGTCTAGTTGAAGGTCTTGCTGAATATACCCTACAATATGCTTGTTCATTTTCTCAATGTGCAATACGTGATAACATACAAGTCACAGAACAACAAACAATATGAAACTAGGTGCACTCAGGGAGAAGATCGCACATAAGAGACGGGGTTTGGATATGCAATCGAGTAATAGTTGACACAAAGCACATGGTTGCACAGTACAGGGTTCAATGAGGCCATAGGAATCTACATGGTATCAGCACAGGAACATACACTTCAATGAAACTCCAGCTTTTGGTTTTTGAAATCTATATAACGGTTAAGCCATTTTGCCAATTCCAGTTTGATGGGACATGTCCTAAACAATAAGCAAAAGCTAAAGCAGTACAAGAGTATATATAAAAGGGGCAAAGGAAGATAATGAGTTCCTAAATGACTATCCCCCACAAACAAAAAAAAAAAAAAAAAAAAAAAAGAATAAGATGTTACATCAGGAGCAGCACACAAAAAAAAGCAGCATCTGCTACTACAACTTGATAAAACTTGGAAATAATGCAACCCTCAAATGAATCTGGCAATAGCAATTTGGGGGGTGAAGGAAAAATAAATCAATAAACAAACATATGAAAGAAAATATAATTATATGAAACAATTGAAATATCACTTCTGATAAGAAAAATTCAATGTGGTGAGCAATAGGATATAAATGTCCTCTTACTAGTCGTGGAACACTTCGACAAAAGCACGTTGATGCCTTTGCTCGAACTCTAGGATTTCTGTTCTTCAGATATGGTTGCAACTTGGGTAACAACAATGTAGGGGAAACCCAAGTGGTCATCGCTACTAAAGCTCTCTCAGCAGCCTCACATACAAATCGTTTGTCTTGTGAAGACTTTAGAAGAAGTTGTGTAAGCTGCAAGGGTCAGGTTTGATTAAATTGGGGAAAAAAAACTAATAATTCATTGCATATAAGAATAGAATCCTTTACTATACAAACAAAGTAAAGCAATACAGCAGAAAAGTTTCAAAGATTTCACATTACCATAGGGTCCAATGAATCAATCACAAGATCAGTATATGCATTGAAAATATCAGCAGAAGTCATAATTGCAGTTTTGCAAACAGCACTTCTTGGATTCTTAAGTGACTTTACCACAAGCAATATTACATCTCCCCTATTGAGCAAAATGGTGACAATCGTTAAATATGTCAGCCCTCACAATCATCAGTAACACATAATACTTCTTTGGATCAAGAGCATTCAAGTGAGAGCATGAGACTTACAGCATATCAAGCATGGCTTCTCTGTGAAATATAGAAAATCGGCGCACATTATTGAGTGCTTCACACACCAGAACCCAATCTTTAGATTCTAGTTCGGTTAAGAGTGTCTGAAATATCAAACACATTATACAGGTAGCTGACATGCTTATCAATTGTGAAAGGTCAGAAATGCCTAGGTTATAGTAAAGCGCCACAAGAAGGCATAAAAACAAATACCTTAAAACTTGTATCAAGATTTTCTAGATCATTCAGATTCTCAGACTCAATGTATGCCACTTCAGCAATTCCAACCTCGGGCACGGAACTTGCAAGTTCCTCACCATTTATGGAAAGTGAACCCACCAAAGCGGTGGTTTCCTCCAGGCATTCTTCATGATTTTCATTAGCATTTGCAGCAACAGGCTTAGTTATATTCCCTTTGCTAGAGCTTTCATTCTTCTTCTCAGATCCAGGTATGGTATTGAGATCTCTAAGAGCATTTTCAGACATTGCAGCTAGCCTTCAACTCTGCAACCAACAAATTTCGACCGGTGAGCACGCAAACTCAAATGTAACGAAAGAACATCCACAATTCTATTTACAGTTAACATTCACCTAGCAATTTCATAGAGTCAAGATAGAAATTCAATTCCAGTTGCTTGGAAGATCCAGAAAACGAAAACCTCTTACTCCGAATCTCCAACAAAATATGAAAATACAACTTACTAAGGATAATAATGAACCATAACCAAAAGCATATAAGTAACAAAAAGCGTAAATGTTATATTGATTGAATTTCGAGTGTGAACACGTACTCAAATGTAACACAACGTCCACAATTCTCTACGCAGTAAACAA